ACGCCACCGGGGCAGTGGGGCTCAGCCTCCTCCGTCCCCACAGGAGGCCGCTGCCATCATCGCTCAGCGGCCTGACAACCCCCGGGACTTCTTCAAGCAGCAGGAGCGGGTGGCATCAGGCAGCAGTGATGCTGTCTCACCGGGCAGCCACAGGACAGGTGAGGGGCTGCGGGGGCTGGGGTGGGTACCAGGAGACCAGGCACAGGTGAGTGCAGTGTCACAGCTCAAAGGATTGCAGTGGGGTGTGGAAAGACCAGGGATGTGATGTTGGGAAGGGCTGTATCCTCTGCCATCACTGGCACTGTGGTTCTGCGTGCCGAGGGTATGAGGATGGCAGGGGACATCCTGCTCTGCTGTGCCGCCATCACTGCCACCATCACCGCCACTGCCACTGCACCTCCCGTGGCCCCTGCAGCTGGGGCAGCTTGTCAGGGGCTGAATGTCAGGTTGTCTTCAGCAAAATGGGGCTCACCTTGCTCCCTGCTGGGTGTTGTCTACTCACCTGTCGTAGCACTGGGCCTGCAGCCAAGCTGGAAGCGTGGTCGGTGTGTATGGGTGGGCAACGGGGATGGCTTGGGAATACATCCCATGGTGACAGCTAAAAGGGGCAGGAGATGCACATGTGGGGCACTCAGCGTGCTGCCAGCTGGCAAGGAGTGCCCCATGGAGAAGCTGGGCTGCCCCACGGTCTGGGGTCCGGTGCTGTTTGTGAATCTAGAGAAGGACTGTGTGTCCTGGTGGGTGCCTCCAGCCATGGGGTTGTGTCATGGTGCTGTGCTGGGGGGCTGTGCCGTGGGCTGTGCTGGGAGGGAGCCTGTGACGTGTGTTCTTGTGTGGTGTGCCATGGGTTGTGCCATGGGCTGTGCCGTGGGGATGTGCTGTGGGGTTGTGCCGTGGGGCTGTGCCTCGGGGCAGCGCTGTGGGGCTGTGCCGTGGGTCGTGCTGTGGGCTGTGTGTTCTGGCCATGCCGTGGGTTGTGCCACGGATTCACGCTGTGGGGCTGTGCTGTGGCTGAGCAGGTAGCTGGTCCCACGGCCGTGTCCTGGCCTCTCTCCCCACCTGCCAGGCAGTGCTGCCTCACGTCCTTCTGTCCTGCTGCCTTTCCATCCTCTTGTCCTGCCATTCTCCCACCATGCTGCCTTCCACCCTGCTGTGCTCCCATCCCGGTGCCCTGGTGCTCCAGCCCCGCCATGACCGCGCTGAGCAGGGACTGACCCATCTCTTTGCTCTCTCTCTCTCTCCGTCCGTCCGTCTGTCTGTCTTTCTCTCACAGGTCGTCTGTACTGTCCTTTCATAAAGACAGCTGACAGTGGGCCACCTTCTTCCTCCTCCTCCTCCTCCTCCCCCCCACGGACCCCCTTCCCCTATATCTCCTGCCACCGCACTCCAAATCTCTCCTCTTTCTTCCCATGTAGGTAGCTGGGAGCTCCCGGGCGCGCTGCTCCGGGGGTCGAGCCGCGGGCAGCTGCCCCACAGCCCACCCAGCCCCACGGCACACCGGAGCGGAGGCGGAGGCAGCACGGGCACCCCGAGGGGGATGGGCACCCCGGCGGGGACCGTGCCCGGCTGGGGCTGACCCCACGCTGGTCCCTGCGCCCCTGGGAGGGGGGACATAGGGCAGGGGGGACAGATGGGGACAGGGTAGAGCTGTGCCTGGGGAGGTGATGACCCACAGTGGGATGGGATAGACTGTGCCCATGGGGCAGCTGTGCCCTGGAACATGCAGGACAGTGCCCGTGGGGCAGGGTCAGGCAGAGTGGAAAATGCTGTGCCAGACGCACGTGCTGATGGGGCAGAAGGGAAAGGGACGTCTCTGCCCTGGAAAAGGCTGTGCCCAGGAGCACGTGAGGCTGTGCCAGTGGGGCAGAAGGGCATGGAGCAGCTGTGCCATGGACAAGAATGCAAGACTGTCCACAAAGCAGTGTGGGATGGAAAAGGCTGTGCCCAGAATGTGTGGGGCTGTGCCAGTGGGGCAGAAGGGGCCAGGTGGTTCCAGGGGCCGAGTGCCCCCACAGGCACAGTTGACAGGGCACGGAGCTGTGCCCACAAAAGCTGTGTCAGGGCACGGCTGAGTGACACGTGGGCAGAACCAGTGTGCACCATGGCAGGTACGGGGCTGCCTGTCCCCTTGCCCAGCAGATGTGGGGGCTGAAACTCATGGGGCTGGAGGGGACACCTGGAGGGGACATGCTGCACCCACGGAAGCCTCCACCCCACCACCCAGGAGGGGACGGCGCGGTGGTGGGTGCACCGTGGTGTGCGCTTGGCAGCCCACAGCTGGGTTGGTGTGGGGTTCTGGTTCCCCCCATCAGCGTGGGCAGCCCCCCACGCCAGCCCGTCTCCCTTGTCCGCAGGCAGCCAGTCGGACGCTTTCCGCAAGGCCTCGGCGGCGGGCTGCAGCCCCTGCGAGCCCAGCCCGGCCGCCACGCCGCCGGGCCCACCGGGCACCCGCGCGCCCGCTGACCAGCCGCCGGCAACGCCCAAAGGTGGGCGCAGGGCTGGCACTGCCTCCCCTGCCCAGGGCGGCCGGGTGCATCCCCACTGCAGCCCCCTCGGCTCTGCTGCAGCCCCCTCGGCTCTGCTGCAGCCCCCCCAGCTGCCCTTGCATGGCTCAGTGCATCCATGCTGACCCATTCCCCGCCGTACCCGCTGCTCCGTGCCGCTGCATCCCCGCCGTCTCTGCTGCATCCCCGCCTGCAGCCCCGCCGTCGTGGCTGTACCCTACTGCTTCCAGTGCATTTTCTAATGCCAGTGCATTCCTGCTCTCTCTGCTGCACGCCACGCCATGCATCCCTCCATCCCCAGTGCATTCCCCCAGCTCGGTACATGCCAGCCCTCCCTGCTGCACCCCCAGAGCAGCCCTGCTGTCTCTGCTGGGTCCCCCAGTGCGATGCTGCCCAGTCTGCGCCGTCCTGCCATGCGTTCTTTCCAGGGCTGCTGAATCCCTCTGTCCGTCCCCTCTGCCCCACTGCGTCCCCAGGGCACCCCAGCCAGCTCTGCTGCTGTCACCGTGTGTCCCTGCTGCATCCCCACTGGCCCCTTGGCATCCTCTGGTGCATCCCAGCTTTCCCTTCTCCGTCTTCCCAGGGCACCTCTCCCATTCCCTGCCACTCCCCAGGGAGTCCCTCCCTGTGTCCCCTCACTCCCCAGTGCATGTCACAATCCTCTCCCTGCCCAGCCATGCCCACCTATCCTTGCAGCATTCCCCGTACTGTGCCCAGTCCAAAGGACTCCAAATCCCCCTGAGCTGCTTCCCTGTCCCCGGGTGATCCCCAGCCCTGGACGAGGTTTTGTGTCCCCACTGACTCCTGTCCCCTCCTTTCAGAGTCCCCCAGCCCCAGCGCACAGGAGCCCGGGCCAGCCACGCCCGAGCAGCACTGGCCCTTCCCGGGGCCCGAGGACAAGGCCATCGAGCCCCCTGGGGACGAGCCCAGTCCCAGGCCAGTGTGGACAGCGGGGGGTGATGCCCTGGGGGACCTGGTGACCCTGGAGCCCACCGAGCCCTCCCTGCCACCCGTGGCTGACGAGCCCCAAACTGGGGAAGCCCCCAACCCCGAGAGCCTCATCGACCTGTGGCAGAGCGACGGGGTGACACCCCCAGCTGCCTGGCCCCTGCCTGCTGCCCCTGTCCCCGAGACACCCCCGGCCATGCTGCCCGAGGAGGGGGCCCTGCTGAGCCTGGATGAGCTGCCTGAGCCCCCCGCCACCTTCTGCGACGTGGAGCAGGAGGATGAGGATGAGGAAGAGGCAGCTGGCGAGGGGGACCCCCAGTCCCAGGATCTGGGCTGCCAGCACACGCCCCAGGAAGACACCCCGGGCCGAGAGACGCCCCCCATCACCAATGGGGAGATGGCCCACAAGGATGGGACACCGGGTCGTGGGGAGCAGGTGAGCATCACTGTGGGGAGAGGTCAGGGGGTGATGGGGGGCTGGGGGGGTCCTGACAACCTGCCCCCACCCCCCAGGCCAGCGAGGGCTACTTCAGCCAGTCCCAGGAGGAGGAGGTGCCCCCCACCGAGGAGCTGTCGGCCAAAGCCCCCCAGCCCGTCTTCTACAACAAGCCCCCAGGTGAGTGAGGACAGTGAGGAGGGGGAGTCTGTCCCTCTCTGGGACACCCCAAGCCATCCTGACCCCTCTCCCTGTCCTCCAGAGATTGACATCACGTGCTGGGATGCAGACCCTCTGCCCGAGGAAGAGGAGAGCTTTGGGGGGGCCCTGTGAGCCCAGGCCCCGCTGCCGGCACAGGCAGCCCGCCCCGGCCGGCGCGGGGCACGAGGGGGCTGCAGCCGGGGGCCGGGCCCCCCTCACCCCTCTGGGGCCCCGCAGGATGAGGCCTCCAGGTGGGGGCCGCCCCTCTGCAGCCCCGCCCCGGGGCACCTTTTACAGCCCCCCCTTCTCCTCTCTTTTTTTAAGTTGTCGGTAGGAGCCGTGTCAGCCCCCCAGCCCTCCCTTAGCAGCCCCCCCACCCCGATACCCCAGCGCCCCTTTGGGGGGGACGACACACGCTCGCATCCCCTGCCCGGCCGTGGGACAGGGTCCTCGTTCTCTTCGTGCCCCCCCCCCGGGAGCCCCCCCCAGTACTTTGCACGAGTTCAAAGAAAAAAAAAAAAAAAAAGAAATAATAATAATAATAATAATAAATGAATATGGCAATAAAGTGACCCGACCGAGGCAAGGCTGCAGCCAGCGGCGTCCCCCCCCCAAACCCCGGCAGGGAGCTGATGTGGGGGCTTTTACCCCTTCCCCACTTCTTCTTTGCTGGGAGCCCTGTCCTCCCCTGCTTGGCCCCTGCTTGGCCCCTCTCCCTCCCATTCCCCCCAGAAATTTTTGGAAAGCACAAGTTCTGTACCGGCGGTGTGCTCATGTCTGTTAATAAATAAAGCGTCTCCCACGGGGGCTGCAGCCTGCTGGGGCGGCACGGAGGGCTGGGACTGGGAGGGGGGCTACGGCTGCCTTGGGGAGGGGGCGGTCCCACCATGCCAGCCCGCCAGGAGGCAAACCCGAGCCACAAACTTTTATTCTCAAACTGTAACAAACAAAAAATTTAAGAAACAGAGCAGAGTCCGGGTCCCCAGCGCCCCCGGCCATTGGGGGGTCGGCGGGGGCCAGACGGGGAACCAGCCCCTTCCGCGCCGGCGGCGATGGCCCGCGCCGGGGCGGGTGTCCCTGGGGTGACACGAGCAACCTAAACCCCCCCACCCCCCCCAGGTGCACGGCAAGGTCCGGGCGCCGTTAGACAGCGGTAGTCCTGCCGAAGAGGGGCATGGAGACCGGGAGGTGCCAGGGTCCCGTCTCGTAGGTGTCCCTGCTGCTGAGCTCCGAGTCCGTCCAGCTGGGAAACATGCGTGGGGAGCACTCCTGCTGCAGGTAGAGGTCCGGGCAGGCAGGGCCGGGGCTGGCTGAGCGGGGCAGGTGCAGCGCTGAGCCGTAGCCGGCGTCCAGGAAAAGGGGTTTGTAGCTGGGAGGCTGCTCCTGCTTCTCCAGCCGCTCATGGCTCAGGAAAGGGGCGTTGATTTTGCGGTAGAGCCCCCGCGTGTCCATCAGCACCTCGCTGTATGGCGGGGGGGGCTCCGCCATCAGCAGCGCCTCCTCATAGCACGGCGGCTTTGACAGGTCTGACTCTGCAAGGCAAAGCCCCCCCCGGACCCCTGCTGCCGTCAGCGCTGCGCCCCGGCTCTCGCGTCCTATCCCCCCCAAAACAGGGGGAGGTACGTGCTCCGGGGATGCGAGAGCCCCTCCCTGCTCCTTACCGTGCCGGCAGCTCCAGGGCCGGGGGGGTGGGATGTGGTGGGGGTGATGGTGGTGATGGTGGGGCTCGAGGCGGAGGCGGTGGGGAATGGCGATGCCGGGGGGGCTGCCCCCGTAACCCTCGTAGTGCAGCGGCTCCATCTCCAAGGCGCGCAGGCTCTGCTCCCGCAGCCGCTCCTCCTGCTGCCGCTTCACCCGCCGCCGCAGGTAGCTGCAGAAGCAGCACAGCAGCACGATGAGGCCCCAGATGAGCCAGAAGCCCGCGAAGCAGGTGAGGAAGGTGTAGGTGCCCTGGGACATCACCATCTTGGCAGCCGGCCCCGGGGGGAAGAGCCCCCGCCTCTCCCTGCCCTCGGGATGGGGGACGGGATGCTCAGGGCGGCGGAAGGGTCAGGGAGGACCCGATGCTGTCAGGGCCGCCGAGGGCATCTCCCCGGGCCGTGCCCGGCGCCGTCTCCTCTGGCCCGCGGGCGAGCCTGCCGTCAGGGGTCCGTCCTCGCCATGGAGCTGGGGGGGGCTGGAGCGGGTGGGTCAGGCCTGGGTGCGCCGGGCGGGCGGTGGGGCGGGGGGCCGGCGGGGCGGGCGGCGGGGGGACGGGGCTGCCGGGGTCCCGCTGCCCATCGCTGGGGGGGGACCGCCGGGGTGGGGGCCCTGCAACGAGACAGACGCGAGCGTGAGCGACACGGAAACGTGGACGCCCCGTTCCCATGGTGACTCGCTCCACATGCGCCGCAGCGCCCGCAGCCAGGGGGAACCGTGCCTGGCACCCCATGCACCCCCCCACCATCACCCCCAGGGATGCAAACCTGCGCAGCTCCCCTAGAATCGCCCATGGCACTGCTGGGCACCCTGGGGTGGGAGATGGATGCTGTGGTGCCACAGCATCATCTTCAAGATAATGGGGTGCCCAGTGGGATCCCCTTCTCCTGCCCACCCTAAGTTGCTGCTGAGCCCAGGCAGCTCATCCCTGTGCTGCCACACAGGAGGGTGACCTGGGCAGAAGGAGGGACGAGCAGAGGTGCCGGTTCCCTGCCGCACGTGGCGCTTGCAGGAGCACGTGCGCCAAAGCCATCGCTGGCCTGGCAGCCACTGGGGATGGTGGCACCCCAACACAGCAATGCAGAGCCGGGGGTGGCGGTGATGGGAACCATCGCCTTCGTCCTTTAGGCAGGGTGACAGCTCGGTCACATCCAGCCAAGCATCCAATGTCAAAGGTGTGTGCCAGGGGCAGGTCTGCTCCTCAGTGAGCGGCGAGCAGCACCCATGGGTGCTCGCAGGCAGGCACGTAAGCACCCGTCAGGATTCTCATTATCGCGGTGTGGGAGAAAACGGGCTCGGCAGCAGGGAGGAGGGTGAGCCTGGAGCGACGGCAGGCGAAGGCTGGGTGATCACGGTGACATTATCACTCCCCCGGAGCAGGGCGAAGGGGCGCGGGGTGCTCCATCACCCTGCGGCACAGGGCCACGCTGCTGGCAAGGGATCCCGGCAGGGCCACCGGGGCTGAGGGTGCCGCGGGGCCGGAGGGCCGAGCCCAGCGGAAGGAAGAAACGATGGGGAAGGAAGGAGCCGGGGGCCCTGACCACGCTCCGGCGGGCAGCGGGGGCTGCTCCATCACGCAAACAAACGCGTGGGCTGAGGCAGCGCCGGGATCTGGGCCTTTGGGGAGGGGTGCCCTGGCTGAACCCAGCTCGGTTCGGGCAGCGCTCGCCACATCGGCTGCAACAGGCTCCGCGCCGGCAGCCTGGGCATCCCCGGGGAGGAGAGGTACCGTGCGGGAAGGGCCGTGGGGCGAGCCCCGGGATGACGACCGGGGGAACACCGGGAAGCGGTGCAGGGCGGGCTGGCGCCGCCGCGGACCGGGGGCGTCCGCAGCTGGGGCGTGCGGGGGGAGCGGGGCTGCCGAGGACGTGCGGGCTGGGGGAGGAGCGGGGCCGGGCTGGAGACAGTCACGCCGGGCGGAGAGCGGAGCGGCCGCCGAGCCGGGCCCCGCCGGTAGCCCCGGGCCGCCCCGCTGCCCCCGGCCACGGCCTGGGCCCCGCTGCCCGCGTCGCATCCGTACCCGGTGCCTCTGCGGAGAGGGTGACACCCCGGCGGGGAATCTCCCCGCTCCCCGTGCCGGGCGCGGCACCCCTTCCTCATCCTCCTCATCCTCATCCTCCTCCTCCCCCGGGGCGCGCGCCCGCCGGGGCCGGACCGGAGATGCGCGTCCCGGTACGCGCCGCGCGCCCCCGCCGCGGTCCCCGGTGGCGACGGCCCCGCGCGCCCCCGCCCCGGCCCCGCCGCCCCCGCACCGCGCAACAGGCGGAGGCGCCGCGCCCGCTCCCTCCGCGGCTCCCGTTACCGGCGGCGGCGGCGCACGTGGCTCAGGCGGCGGGCGGCGGCTCCATAGCGCGGCGGGGGAGGGGGCCCGGTGCGCGCCCGGTGCGCGGCGCCGCCGCCGCCTCCCGGCGCTGCCTTTGTCTCCGGTGAGCGCTCCCGCGCCGCCGCCGCCCCGCCCGCCCGGGCTCCCGCCCCGCCGCTGCGCCCCGCCCTCGGCTCGGGGAGGGATCCGCGGGCTCCCCGCACCCCCCGCCCCGGGACCCGCCGCCTCTCGGGGGCTACCGGCTGGGCACCGGTACTGCCGAGGGAATCCCCCCAGCTCCGGCCCCTGGGGAACGGCGGCGGGATGCCGGTGGCGAGAGGGACAGGGCATCCCCGGGGGTGGCCGCGGGAGCCGCACGGGGTGGGGGAGCCGTGGATTCCCGGGTAGCGGCTCCCGGTCCGGGTAGGGTGAGGGCCCTGCGATGCCCGGTGGGGTGGTGCCACAGGCTCCCGCGGTCGGTAGCCCTGCACTCGCCCTGGAGGTGCCCTGGGGGTGCTGCCACCCGTTCCTGCAATGCCACCCCCAGCCTCCTCAAGGGGTGACAACTGCGTGCTCCCCGGGGTGACGGCCACCACAGGGCCACAGCAAGACCTTAACAGCGCCTGGCACAGCCCACCTGGGCACTGCAGTGAGACACGCGGCTCTGCAGGGCAGGGGGCCAGCGAATGGCCAAAATGGAACTGGGTGTCCTGGGGTCACCCCACTGCCTTGGGTACCATAGCCCCAAGCAGAACCCTCGCCAGCCTGGCCTGGGCAGCTGTCCCTGAGCTAGGGCTCCCCTCGCCACTGCTATCCGGTGGTTGTCACTGCTGTAAATGAGGCCAGTGGTCGTGGCCCCCATGGGACACCCCTCTGGCTCCTTCGGACTGCACCAAGCTCGGGCTCCAGAGTCCCTGGGGCTGTGCCAGGAGCGGGGCAGAGCGCTTTTGGGGGGGAAATGCGCCAGATGCGGGTGGGTGATGGGTGTGGGTGCCCCACGCAGGCCATGACCCCGCTATGGTTTCCTCCCCGTGGGCAGGCTGGCAGGCACCCGCACACACGGCGCATTGTCCTGCCGGGGGCCGGCTGGAAGGATTTCCTCCATCCCGGCCAGGGGATGGCCTGGGTGACCCGGGAGCTGGCAGCGCACTCCCACCACACTGGGCACAGCGGCTCCGGCCAAGCCCGACCACCGCGCTCGCAGCGGGGCCGCAGTGGCCACGTTTCCCCCGGTCCCCTCGGCTCTGCCCCCGACTCACCTTGCTGGAACTCGCCTCCTGCGATCCGACCTCACAGCGCGGCCACGGCAGTCGGGCACTGCCGGCTCGGTGTTTGTGGGGGTGCCCCAGCAGCATCCAGGGCGGGCAGGGGGCTGCGGCCATGCGGGGGGGCCGGGGTGGTCCCTTGAGGCATGGGGACCGCAGGGACGGGGGGCACGGTGGGGCCCACGGGCATCGTCAGGTCAGGGCAAGGGCGGGCGAAGGGAGCCAGGCCTCCGGCCCCGCCAGCGCCGGGGGCCGGGAGCTGCCTTCCCCTTCCCCTTCTCCCCAGCAGCGGGGGGAGGCAGGCGGGGGGAGCGCTCCCCGAGCCACATGGTGGGCTGGAGGAGGAGCCGTTGCCCAGGCAACAGCTGAGAGCATCCTTCACCCCTGAAAATGGTGTGCAGAGCTGCCGCCACAGCCCCACAGCACCAGCGGGTGTGCTCAGGACCCCACAGCTCGCCCGTGTCCGTAGGGCCCAGATCCCCCCACTCCAGCTCTGGATGTACACCAGCATCCTCTCATCTGTGTGCTCCTACCCCCATCAAGGAAGGGATGAGGAGGAGACACCCCCCAAATGCTGGGGCACCACTGGGCAGGTGAGAAACAGGCAGAGCCACTTCCCTGCCCTGCTCAGGGCTCTGCTCACACTCCAGCTCTGCCCCAGAGCCACCCTGAAGATGTGACAGACACCCCAACACGCTGGTCACCCCAGGACCTTGGTGCCAGGCTGCCATGACCCAGGCAGTGCCAGGAGGGCAGCACAAGCATCCTGCCTGGCGCATTTGGAACAGCAATGCCCAAGCAGTCCCCATCCCCCCGCCTGCCTTCCTTCCTTCCAGGGCTGCAGAAAATGCCTGGATTTTACCCCAAGATGCCCCCTCTGAGTGTGAGAACTCCTCGGCCCGCTCCCATAGCAACTGTTCCCTGGCTACCCAGCCACACTTGCTATTCTCATCCCAGTGCAGCTGCGTGCGGCCCCCCCGCGCTGCGCATGAGGCTGGCACCGCTGCCGCCAGCCCCGGACCCCAAACCCACCCTGTGTCCCCCACCAGGCTGCCCCCTTGGACTGCTGCACCCTTGGTGACCGTCGTGACCCTCACCCCGTGTCACCACGCAGGGTCCCCCTTGCAGGGGCTGTTCTTGAGCTAAGCAGCAGCACTCTGTGCTGCCCCAAGGTTCCCATGCATGGTGGCCCCCCTGGAGCAGTAATTCACAGGGATCAGAGGGCAGCAGGACTCTGTCCTGGTCCCCTCCCCCCAGGAGGGGCTGTGCTGGGCATGGACATGCCCCAGAGGGGACCACAGCAGGCACAAGCATCCCAACAGCACAAGGCCTCATACCTGTCGTGCCCCGACACTGACTCAAAATATGCAGCAAAGACACTGAGGGTCATCTGTGATACTCAGGGCTCAGCCAGCATCAGCCTTTTTGCCCTGGAGAGCAACCCCAGCCCTTCCTTGCAGGACAGGAGCACCAGCACAGCCCATGGCAGGCCAGAAATGAGGTCCCCACTCCCTTCTTACAGCCACCAACCCTGTATGGCCTGGAGCAGGCTCCCCGTGACACAAGAGCAATACAAGGCACAGCAAATCTTTACACTTAACAAAAGGTTAAAAATTTAAATACTCTCCAACTTTAGTGCAAGGCAAGCAAATGATACCACAGGTCCAAGTAGGTGCTCAGCCCCCCCGGGGGGCCTGGCTCAGAACGAGCAGAGGCAGCAGCACACGCACACACGTGTGCACACACACACACAGAAGGGACAAGTTATTGCTCAGGACACAGCTGGGACAAGTGTACACAAGAGGGGACAGGACAAGCTGGATGGAGAGGTGGGCTGATCCCCACGCTGCTCCCCACAGAAGGCTCCTGCCTGTAGGTGCAGGAGCTGTGCTGGCTCCCCTGGGGACACACAAGAAGCTGGTCCCAGCCCACTCACTTTTGGGTCACTGCTTCACATGACCCTGGGAAGGGACATTCCCTTTATGACAGCTTTGCTCCCTGAGAGCAGGGTCCTTTGTATCTGCTCCTCCACCACTGAGCTGGGCCTGGGGACGGGCGCATCTCTGGGATGCACAGGTCCAGAGCTGGTGGAACTGCACTGCCACTATCCTGCAGCGTGCCAGGATCAGACCAACCCTTTGGCCACAGCAGCAGCAGGTGCCCGGGAGTGGCTGTGTCCAGCTGTGCCTGTGGTCTGGAGAGGGGCTCGGAATCAGCTCACTGGAGCTGGCAGCACGTGTGAGACGAGGCAGGAGGCAGCAGGCTCCAGCAGACAGGGACACGAGGACAAGGCAGTGACGTTCTGCTGCCAGGACGCAATGGGAGACGCTTTGGCACAGCACTTTCCTGCGCCTCGAGGCTGAGCAATGGACTCCGCTGGAGCCAGGACACCTCAGCATGGCCAGAAAGGTCCAGGAAAGATGATTTAGACACCTCAAGGCACAGAAGGCCTCTGTCCAGGACTCCCTGGAACAAAGCTGGGACCGTCACTCCTCCCATAGGAGGACATTTGTGCCTGTGACAGGGTGGGGGCAGCGCAGGCCCCCACCCATAGACTAAAAACCAACATGTGATATGTACAGACCAACATATATAAATATACATCAAACCTGCGGTGCCGCTTGGGCACCGTGGAATGTGTCAGCAGAGCTGCTCCAGCCTGGCCTCGGCCCACGCCGGCACGATCCCTCCCTCCCACCCTGGGCCTGGGACAGGAGCGGCAGCAGCACCAGCACCATCCCAAGTGGCAGATTTGGAAGTGTCCGGGTTTGTCTCAGGGCTTGCCCGTGGTCAGAGGCGCCTCAACCCGAGCCGTGTGCAGCTGCCAGCCTTGGAATCTTCCTCACAGTCTTCACATACAGACGTATAAAACTGTAAACAAATCCACCTTGTGGGGCCACTGCGACCGTGTCCTTCAGGCTGGGCACTCAGGAGAGGCAAGAGGGTCCCAGGGGCTGGAGAACAAGCTGTGCCCTACAGCCGGGTGGGCTCTTCCTCGCTGTCGCTGCAGTTTCCACAACAGTCCTGAAGTCAGAAGGGCAAGGAGAGGGAGGAGGGAGGGAGAGAGGAGCACAGCAAGCAGAGGGTGAGCACGGTCACACAACCCAGCCTACAGCTGCCCTCTGGCAGGGATGGGCAAGGTTCCCTCCCAGCCTGTGTGCGGGAGAATTACATGGAGGCAAGGGGCAGGATGGGACCCCCAGACTGCAGAGAACAGTCCAGCTGCATCTGGAGGTCAGCCCTGGCAGACAGACTGGTGAGCACACAGCTGGCTAGCTCAGAAGCTGTGAGGAAGCTGAGCTCCAGGGACTGCAGCCACCCAGGGACACAAGCTCGGTGCCAGCACAGACGCTCGGCCCCGCTCAGGGCTCAGCTGGCCACAAGAGCAGCTGAAGCCCTTTTTGCTGAAATGGGAGAATGAGCATGGGGCAATGCCAAACCCTTCACAGTTTCTCAACCCTTCTGTGTGTCCCAGACATCTGGAGAGGAGTGAAGGACACTTCCCACAGCCCCCTGGGAGCAGAACTCCCAGCGGCGGCAGTGCAGGGGCAACTTCGGCTCAAGCTGAGGGCAAGGCCTCCCCCACAAAGGCAGCAAGAGCAGGGATGCTGGATTAGTGGCTCAGGGGGCAGTTAGAACAACAAGCAGGTTGTGCTCTGCCAGGGGAAGGGAATAGGCACTGAAGGATAACACTCCTCTTTCCCAGATCTTGCCATGTCCGTGGGCCACCGGGTATTTCCCTGAGCAGAGCAGCCAGGAGTGACTGCTCACCTCTGGAAAGAGAAAACACGTGGGAAATCACAGCTCAACCCTTTCTACAAACAGCTGCCCATCCTCTGGCAGGTCCTGGCTGCCTCGGGAAGGGCTGGGTATCCCCAGAGCTGGCTCTGGCTAGGGCAGCCCACTGAACTGCACAGCACAACTCAGAGCTTGCCAAGGAGCAGGAGTCAGCACCAGGTGGCTGAGTGGGTCCAGAGCCAACCATGCTGGAGTCCTACAGCTGCACACAGCTGCTGAGAGGCAGCAGCCCAGGCTCTGCCAGGCCTGGAAAGAAGGCAAAGACTGTCCCAGGCAGAGGAAACAGGCAGACAAGCAAGCCCACAGTGGCTGCAAGATGTTTCTCTTCTCCTCATGCCTCAAAAGAGCTGCTCTCTGCCTGGCTCAAGATCTGGCAGAAGTGCTCTGGGGAGCCCAGACAGCCCTTTCCATGAAGAAGGACTTATTCAGGGATGGTATTATTCATGTATGAAGGAAGATAATTTAGAATTTTAGGGTCTTCAGCATCCCTCTGCCTGGGTGATTCCAGCATGCTTAGCCAGGGCACTCCTTTCCAGCCCCCTTGACTCTCCCAGCATCGGGAGTGCCAGCCAGGCAAGGGCTGGCTCCTTGCAGCCTTGCACAGGTGCCCCTGAAAGCTCTGGGGTCTGGCCACCCAACCTAGGGGACACTGCTCGCTGCCCTCTCGTGCCCACCGCCCTGGCACAGGCAGGAGCAGGTCACTGCTGCTGGGAGACTGGCTGGGGAGGAAATGCTGGGCAAACCCTTACCTGTCTGCTGAACAAGCGCTGGAGTAACCCTTTTTTGGGCTGTGGAGAAGGCTGCCCTTTCCAGTCCAGGTCTGGGGGCACTGTGCCATCTGTGCTAAAGACATTCAGCTCCTTAAAACACTCTGTCTCGATCATCTGGAAGAGGGAAAAGAATGCTGCAGCAAGTGCCACATGGAGCCCATCACTGAGGGCCCAGCAGAGCATGAGAGCAGTGGGGACAGCACAGGGACAGTGCCCTCGGCCATGGTGGGCACAAGCAGGAGCAAAGACCCACCTCGTTCTGCCAAGGAATGGGCACACTTCCTGTAGCAAACTTCTGGTAAAAGTCGTTGTCTGTGGGCTCCAGCTCCACTCCTTTCACCGTGGAGAACTGCTCGATGTCCAGAACATCCTTGCAGTAGATGGCCTGGGGCTATGCAGCACAAAGATTGCTCTAATGCCAGGCTCCACCTTGATGCCACCACCTCCAACTGTTGCTCGTGGCTAAGCCAAGGCCACCTCTCCCTGCAGCCCAGAGCTTGCTGGAGCCCTGTTCTGCCAGCTCCAGGGAAGGGGATGGGCCCACCTCCCCACGCCAGGGCTCCCTCTTCCCTTGACAGCAGCAGTGACTGGAAAGGTCAGGAACAGATGGGCACTTACATCGGGCTTGAAGGGAGGGTCCAGCATGCCTGCTTCCAGCCTCCTGAAGTTGAGGTGCTTGAAGAGAGGGTGTTCCTTCACCTCCTTGGCCCCAGCTCCTCGGCACCCCAGGCGCTCCAAGGGGTCTTTGCACAGG